GGTTAATGATAGTATATTTCGGTTTCTGGGTTTTAATGTTGATCTCAGGGCCGTTCTGTCTCCCAGTTTAGAGCCATTACACATTCCGTTATCGAACGGACTTCTGCCTGAAACCTTAGGTTAATGGTAGTATATTTCGGTTTCTAAGTTTTCAGTGTTGATTTTAGGGACGTTTTGTCTCCCAGTTTAGAGCCATCCGTGCTTTCCTACTGGTATTTGCTCTAATGTTTCGCGTTTTATCTGGGATCAGAGCCGCAGGTTTCCCGAGCAATTCTCTTTGTAGTGCGCGATCGGGCACGTCCGATGTTTGTATATAGCCTTCCAATTTGTTAATTAACTTCTATTTAGAATCAGTGCCTCAAATATCCCGACAGATTCTGTTTCTGGTATACGATCACTTCCGATGTTTGGGTATATAGCCTTCCAATGTTAATTACGTGACCTATAAACTCCCTTAAAAATCGTATATAATATTTCGAAAACTTTACAAACTGGTTAGTCTTTGGTGGACCCATTGATATTCTTTTTCAAATATATACATAGTCAACGAATGAACACTTAGAGAGGAGAGGAGTAAGTAATATGGCTACTGATTGTCACTTGAATGAACGTCTAAAATTGTTTGCTCTCTTGACTATTAGCAAAATCTCGATTATAATATTGACATTCCTACGAATACACTTTCCAATATAGTGAATAAACGGTCACTCAGAGAGATGAAAATAGGATGGTTTTTTGATGCCAGATATATGTATGTAAATAAGGCTTTCTTGACTTTCGATAAGTTCTCGGAACTCCTCGAAAAAATCAGTTTATAGTTAATAAATCGCTTAAATACATATTTCAAAATTAATTTCTCTATTAATATCTGATATCATGAGGATCTTGAACGATATTAGGCTAATGTATATACATAATTTCCATGTTAATATCTATAGTACTAACTATATATAATTCGTTATAAATCATTTGCATTAACCACTTAAACAAATTTTGTTAGAAACGGGGCATTATAGATCTTAGGCCCAAACCCTCCGATATTGGGCATCATATGATCGGGCAAGACCAACTATAACTTTTTATTTGTTTTTATTTAATAAAATATCAAAAACTCATTTCATCAAATTAATAATAAATTCCTACTTGCTTTCTCAATTATAATTGATTATAAAACAAACAAAAAAGTTTCTTTAACGTTTCTTCTTTAATAAAAGTTTCTTTTAACTCATAAATAAATACATTGTAATATGTATCATGATGAAATATTTTTTCTTATAATTGAATGAATTGTATTTGTATTAATAAAATCATTAAATCAAAAAGAAAGTAAATAGGCAATGGTACTTAAAACTTATAAGCCCAAATAAATCGATTTCAAACTTCTGTCGCCAAAAAGTAAAATTATTCTTCTTATTTCGTTTTGTTTTCAAATCAAATCCAACCAAAAAAGAAAAAAAAATAATAATAAAAGACAACAAATTGATATTGTAAATCTGCTTAAGCTTTAGATCTGACTATAATAATAAAAACAACACACTCATACGAAAAATATGGAATATTTTTTGGAATCATAAAGGAAAAAAAAAAACGAATAATAATGTTATTCTTTTATACAGGGATGATGGTTTTTCATCTCCCACTACTTTTTACAGGAAAATTCCTTTATACTTTCAATGAAATCTGTATAGAAACTTCTAAGGATACTTTTTGGTTCGTAAATCCTATGAGGAGTGTTTGACTGGTTGCTTGTCATGTTGCTGTATTGATGTATAGATACATATTATATACGAACATACATACGAACATGTTGAAATATTTTAAGGAAGTTTATTGTGTATAGTCAGTCTGTATTTTCTATCCCTGAGCTGTCTTTTGTGCGTGCAAAATACTAAATAGATGAAAACCAAAGTATGTGCACATCCTAATAGTCTATCTATTGAAGTTGTTGTTGTTTTGGTTTGGTTGGTGGGATTATGGGTATTTGGATAATTTTACACCCTGTTTTTCACTATACGCATCCCATCTCTTGGCAGTTATAAGCGTGTGTTTCCATTCCATTGTTCTGCTTCTGATTGCAGCAGTAACGTGATTTACGAAATTTAATGCGGTCACATTTGGCCAAGTGTATTCCACTTAAGTTTAATGTCAGTCCCTGGGGAAGGGATAATGATAAAAACATTTTGACATTTGTGATTTGCCAAAGTGGAAAAAAAGTTAAATATAATATACACACATTTACTTTTTTCGTTTTGTTTTTTTGCTAAAAATAGCATATTACAAAATCATATATTTATGTCAATGTAGGGGTTAGATTGAAATATTTATAAGAAAAAAAATTTGTTCTATTTTTTGTGCCATTTTTTTTCTAAAAATTTTTATGTTAAAAAAGGGCTTTACAAATATAATAAACTGCATGATTAAGTTGGGGTTTATAAACGTTTTATATTACTCATGTGTGTAATTTGTTGTTAAAAGAGTTGAATTATAAATAAATTAATTATATTAATATATAATTTGTTAGCTTGACTCTTTGTTTTGACTATCAACAGAAAGAATCAAGGTTCCCCTAACTTTTAATAAGATTTCGGTTATACATAAGAAAATTTTTTTTAGATATTAGAAGTTTTTTAAAAATATAGTTTTTAAAATTTTTGTTAAAACCTTCAAAATTAGCTTTTCCACAAAATGTGTAAATTTATTTTCGAACCTTAAAAAATCTCTAAAATTTAAAAATTTTAGCACCCTTAGATCAGACTTTTGGAAACCTATTCAGGATTTTCATACAAAAATTGTGTTTCCTTTTCATAACATACATAAATATATCTCGATCCAATTGACATTGTTGGAACAATTTGTGTTTTAACTGTAATGTTAATTTTCTTTTCCAAATTGTTTAAAAGCTCCATGTCCCTTTTGCTTCTGTGAGGTTTAGTTTTGACGATAAATTCGTTAGAATAAATAAATCAGCAAACCTGGCAGGCCTGTTCAATGCTTAAAAATCTCAACCATGTGTCACTTGACTAAGCGTCTATTATTATTAGTCTAATAACTAGTCCATTAGCAAATCTATTGATCGGTTAGTTAGTTAGTTAGTTAGTTAGATAGTTAGTTATTTAGTAGTTAGTAGTTAGTTAGTTAGTTAGATAGTTAGTTAGTTAGTTAGTTAGTTAGTTAGTTAGTTAGTTAGTTAGTTAGTTAGTTAGTTAGTTAGTTAGTTAGTTAGTTAGTTAGTTAGTTAGTTAGTTAGTTAGTAGTTAGTTAGTAGTTAGTTAGTTAGTTAGTTAGTTAGTTAGTTAGTTAGTTAGTTAGTTAGTAGTTAGGTTAGTTAGTTAGTTAGTTAGTAGTTAGTTAGTTAGTTAGTTAGTTAGTTAGTTAGTTAGTTAGTAGTTAGTTAGTTAGTTAGTTAGTTAGTTAGTTAGTTAGTTAGTAGTTAGTTAGTTAGTTAGTTAGTTAGTTAGTTAGTAGTTAGTTAGTTAGTTAGTTAGTTAGTTAGTTAGTTAGTTAGTTAGTTAGTAGTAGTTAGTTAGTTAGTTAGTTAGTTAGTTAGTTAGTTAGTTAGTTAGTTAGTTAGTTAGTTAGTTAGTTAGTTAGTTAGTTAGTTAGTAGTTAGTTAGTTAGTTAGTTAGTTAGTTAGTTAGTTAGTAGTTAGTTAGTTAGTTAGTTAGTTAGTTAGTTAGTTAGTTAGTTAGTTAGTTAGTTAGTTAGTTAGTTAGTTAGTTAGTTAGTTAGTTAGTTAGTTAGTTAGTTAGTTAGTTAGTTAGTTAGTAGTTAGTTAGTTAGTTAGTTAGTTAGTTAGTTAGTTAGTTAGTTAGTTAGTTAGTTAGTTAGTTAGTTAGTTAGTTAGTTAGTTAGTTAGTTAGTTAGTTAGTTAGTTAGTTAGTTAGTTAGTTAGTTAGTTAGTTAGTTAGTTAGTTAGTTAGTTAGTTAGTTAGTTAGTTAGTTAGTAGTTAGTTAGTTAGTTAGTTAGTTAGTTAGTTAGTTAGTTAGTTAGTTAGTTAGTAGTTAGTTAGTTAGTTAGTTAGTTAGTTAGTTAGTTAGTTAGTTAGTTAGTTAGTTAGTTAGTTAGTTAGTTAGTTAGTTAGTAGTTAGTTAGTTAGTTAGTTAGTTAGTTAGTTAGTTAGTTAGTTAGTTAGTTAGTTAGTTAGTTAGTTAGTTAGTTAGTTAGTTAGTTAGTTAGTTAGTTAGTTAGTTAGTTAGTTAGTTAGTTAGTTAGTAGTTAGTTAGTTAGTTAGTTAGTTAGTTAGTTAGTTAGTTAGTAGTTAGTTAGTTAGTTAGTTAGTTAGTTAGTTAGTTAGTTAGTTAGTTAGTTAGTTAGTTAGTTAGTTAGTTAGTTAGTTAGTTAGTTAGTTAGTTAGTTAGTTAGTTATTCTTACACTCTTTCGGTCCTGTTTTGCCCAACTTACTAGTACTTTAAGTGTGAATAGAACCACGACCTTAATCCTACATTCCTATGACACCAACCCTACCGGAGGCCACAACGAAATGAACCAAGCTGGTTAATATTAAGTGAAAACTAACAAATTTTATGTTGAGAAATTCGTTTAAACATTGGCCGTGTATAATAAACATTGTTCAGGAACTCTAGTACATAACTTTCAGTCAAATCTACCCCATGATCGACAAGTACTTGAAAAACACTTTTGACCGAATAACGACTTTTATTTAGATTTATTTATCATATGACCAAATAATTATTCAAGTGGTTTCCTAGAGAAAAAATTTTGAACATATCGGAAATTAATCAATAAAAGCTTAACTGGGTCTTAATGAAATAATCTCTACTTGAAATAATTTCATTATCATGACCTGTATAGTTATACGTGAGTATGATGGCTTTGCAATTTCCATCACCCATTATCCTTAAATATCTAGTTAAAAACTAACAGAAGTTCATACTCTTTTACCCCCTTTCCGATGAATAGAAAAAACGTTGTGAAAAGGACTTTTACTAAATTTTATGCTTCAAAAACACTGAACCAAAAACCAGATTCCGTCTGTCTGTTTCTCTCTCTAATAGAGATTGAAGTGATGAGTTTTAATTTTTGTTCAAGTGGAATTTTGTTTCTTTTGTTGGGCGATAATTGGGAAGTGGCAAATAAAATAAAATAAAACGAGAAAAGAAAATTCGCACAATGAAATTATTCCTCACATCAATCGTTCTGCTTTAGCGATTCTATAGAAAACACAAATGTTGCAATTTCTGTTGTTGTCGAATGTAAAGATGAAAGATATAATTCAATTGCGAATGAATAGATGTACGTGTACCCAATAGATGATGTACAAGTAAAAATTATATGTAAATTGTATTTTAAGTACATGACGATTCATTGTACTTTTTATTAATTTGTAAATAAAACAAAATATTGTAATTGATTTTGATGTTTTGTTCGTTATTTTGAATTACAGATGTCAAGCGGGTACTGGACGTTGTATTGTTGACAAGGCTCATCGTAATCAGTGTCAGGCGTGTCGTCTAAAAAAGTGCCTTCAAATGGGAATGAACAAAGATGGTGAGTTTCAAATGATTTGTTCTACATTTGTGTGTGTGTGTGTTTTTTATTTTTTTTTTTCTTTGAAATTTGTATTTATTTAACAAAACACTAAACTCAAGAAGAGTTAATGAAGTGTTAACAATTATGATGCTGATGACGATGATGATGAACCTGATGTTGATTTCAATGTAAATATGGCAAACATTTTCAGAAAAAAAGTCTGTGGCTGCGACTGAGAAAGTGTAGGAAGTTGTTGTTTTTAATTGTTTGTTATATTTATTACCAGGTTAAAGACAACAAGGACACGTGCCTTGTGTAGGCCAACAAGCATCATTTATTTGTATGGAGAAAAAAAAACAAAAATTTCAAATTGTTTCCTTTTGTTTGTTGTTTATAATTATTCATTATTGCGTGTAATATTCTGTGGCATAAACCACAGTGGCAGCAGCGACCTTATAAGAACTGAAAGAACATTCATTCATTCCCTCACCCCTTTCCCTGTTCATTCATCTAGGTTTTTATTTAAATATTCATACGCTTTATGGTTTTTGTTGTATTTATCAGTTTACCTTTCGTTTAGTTAGATTGTTTTTTTGTCAGGACTTGTTATCCTTTTTGGTTTATTTACTGTGTTTATTTTTAAGCATATTGTTTATTCATTTGTAAATCTTTTTTTTTTTCTATAAATGTTTGTTAACCAGAGAGTTTTTTGAAGTTGCATAAGTTAGCACAGCATGCAAATTATTTAACTAAAGGATAATATCGTTGTCTATTTTTGATGGATCCCTTTTGGTTGAGACATTTATGTTCAATCAACCAGCAAATGTGACAAGATGGAATCTTTCAAATGTATTTGATGGTTGTTTTTCCAAAGAATCACTTGAAATTTTCCCATCGTTTTTGGGATTCTAAGGAAATTTTAACAAAAACTATATAACTGTCTTAAAAATATCTCTATAACGATGAAATTTGACATATTAAAGTTTTATAAATATTTTTCCAAACTTCGTGAAGATTTGGCTAAAATTGACTTTACTCTCCATATAATATCGCAAGCCTGTTTGAAAGCCCTATACTAAAAATCACACTGATGCTTATAATAACATCGAGATTTTTTAAGTTTCATCAGGATTGGCGAAATTTGTAAAATTATATTTCTTTTGGTATAATTCGACCCCTTAAATTACAACAGACCCATTTCCTGATTTAAATAATATTCTAAAATTGTACTTCTGCCACAAAGTTCAAACGACTATGGATTACCAAACATCAAACAAAAAAAATCTAGACTATTATATAGACTAGTATATTGTTTAGTCCATGGACTAGTTTATTGTATATTCTATGGACTAGCCCATTTATTATTATTCATATACAAGTCTATGGACTAATCTTTAAAATAGTCTATTGAATATAATAAGGACTAGTTTATGGACTGGTCTATTGACTAGTAGATGGATTAGTTTACTGATTAGTCGACGGACTAGTTATTGGACTATTCAATTGCCTAATCTATGCTCTAGTTCATTGAGGAATCTATGGAATAGCATATTGACTAGGCTATGGACCAGTCTATTAACTAGTCCATTAAGTAATCTATGGACTAATATATTGAATATAAATTAGGAAAAAATTATATGCCATCTCTGAGTTCCAAAGAATCTTCGAAAGTGTTAACTACCAAACGAACTCTCATTCAGCTCTCATTTTTTTACCCTACACCACTATAGTGGGGAGGGTATTATACGTTTGTGCTGATGTTTGTAACACGCAAAAATATTGGTCCTACACCCACCTTAAAGTATACCGATCGATTCAGAATCACATTTTGAGTCGATTAAGACATGTCCGTCCGTCCGTCTGTCCGACTGGCTGGCTGTCCATGTAAACCTTGTGCACAAGGTATAGGCCGCAATTTTCAAGATAATTTGATGAAATTTGGACCAAACATGTTTTTTGGCATAGGGACGAAAATGGTTGAAATCGGTCCCTTATTTGACCATAGCCCCCATACAAACCCTCCTTCAAAAATTGTCTTAAACGTCTAAAATTGACTTGTAACCATTTGTATCGCAATGAAACTCAACATAACTAACTGTTATTTAAAAATATATCCTTTTTCCAAATAGAATGAGTATCGGCCCATGTTTGACCTATACTCATATATAATTATATATTTATATTTAGAAAATTAGTTTTTTTTATCAATAAATCGCTTAAATACATTGGAATTAAGGTAAAATTCAACATAAAAGTTTCTTTATGAAAAATACATTTTTTTAAATATACTCATGGTGTAGGGTATTATATGGTCGGCCATGCCCGACTATACTTTCCTACTTGTTAACATCTATGAACAGTATATTCTGGCAAATCATCATGAGTAGATTGTCGCTTGAACAACGCTACCATATTATAAAAATTTACTTTGGAGATAAGTCGTCGATTGACCAGATGTTTTATCGCAAAATTGTGTTCAATGATGAGACTCATTCCATCCACAACAGACCTTGCAGACTCTGTTACATGCTCGTGGCTCGTCGTCGGACATTATTTCTTTAAAAATTAATTCGTAGTTCGCGTTACGTTCGAAGGAGATCGTTACCGCACCATTGTCATTAATCCGGCTTGGTGTGGAGATGTTGTTTTAATAGAATCAATCAAAATTTTTCGATAACTTGATTTCAAAAAAAAAAGACCATTGAAATGACCTTAAAGGTCATGCGACTTAACATATCTTGATTATTTCCTGTCAGGCCACTTGAAGTCTCTAGTTTATGCTGATAAACCAGCAACGATTAACGCCCCGGAGGCCAACATTGTTCTTGTTATTCCTAATAAACGGTCTTCAAGTAAAATGGACCAAAATGCGACGACCAGAATACGCTTCGTCAAGAACTCTATTGTGTTATTTTATAGCACATTCTATTGTAATACCCATGATATGTATTACATCCCTGGTATCAGGGCCCAAATCAGCGTAGCGTGGGAACAAAATTTTCTTTTTAAAATTCTATATTATAGTTTTTGAGGTTGCAGTAAACAGAATATTTAATTAAGATTTGAAACCATTAAATTTTGACCAAATTTAAGTTATTTTCAATTTCATAGCAGGCCACAAAACCACTACAATTTGCATAACACACTACACTCACACCCACTTCCTCTACCCACCTCCGAGGGGAGTAATGAGGTTGTGTTAGTTTGCTTAGATCTTTAGCGTTGATTACTTCACTGTTTGAGATTGATTACGTGACATGTATGAAATGCCATCAAACTACAAATACAGACATCACATCATTGTCATCGTCATCATCGACATCATTATCAAAAAACAACAACTTCATTATGTATATATATATAGAGCATGTAAATAGGGTGTTACCTAATACACATACTCAAATCCACATACATATATACATATGTATATGCGTATTGCAAGTATTTAGATACATGTAAAGTAACTGTTATTTCTGTTTCCAATTACAGCCGTACAAAATGAACGTCAGCCACGTAACACGGCCACTATTAGACCGGAGACACTGCGGGAGATGGAGCATGGACGAGCTTTACGTGAAGCTGCTGTAGCTGTGGGGGTTTTTGGGTAAGTTTTGTACTCTGTACAACACAACGTTGCTTCAGCTCATCTGCATATTCTCACAGCAGCAAAAAAACAAATAATGTTTAGAACTTCACATTTTTATTCACACAGACCACCCGTTTTATTGTCACCGCCATGTTATGGACCTGCTTTACTACCGCCGCCATGTAAGTAATTGTATTTTGTTTTTAGTTTTTTGGAATAACTACTCCACCTCCTCCTCCTCCTCTTGCTATTAACTTAAGTTTTCGCACTTTTGTTTGTTTTTGTCTTGTTCTTTTTGGTTTATTTCTTCTATTGCCGTTTCTTTTTTGAAATTATTCTCACACATGCTTATAGTAAGTATGTGTGTGTGTTAGCAGGATATGCCTTTAGGACAATCTAATTACCACCCATTTTTATGATTTTATTTTCTTTTGGTTTTAGCACTTTCAGGCTTGCCGACGGGGCGTCTATTACATCATAATCACTTGGCCGCCACTTCAATGCAATTATCGGCGAATATGAACAACAATAACAACAATACTGCTACATTTCCCATATTCAATAACAACAACATTTACAATGCCAACTCAGCCACCACAAAAGATAAAAGATATGCTGACTTATCAAGTGGCGGCACCATTTCATCATCATCAAATTCCTCAAGTAGCAATTCAATAGATCCTTGTTCGCCTCCACCAGAAAATGGTAAATATTTAGGAAAAACTGCTTAATTTGAAAATTGCTTTAAACTTTATATTTATAGCTGCTCCCAAAAATCCTGTCAGTGGTAGTGTCTCGTCAATTAGCTCTGCCAGTCCTATACCCGATAATGATAATGATGGTTTGTATTCAAATATTTTAAAGAACAAATCCAAAACTATTTCTTAATTTTTGTCTTTACTATTTCAGATGATTCCATTGATGTCACCAACGAGGATGAGGAACCCTTAAATGGTGAAAAATCTCTAATGCAATTTGATATTGCCCAAATAATGTCGCCCAATTTGTATGTCCATCAACATGAGACTGTGTACGAGACCAGTGCTCGTCTTTTATTTATGGCTGTGAAATGGGCGAAAAATTTACCCAGTTTTGCTAGTCTTTCATTTAGAGATCAGGTGGGTTTTTGGTTTTGAAATTGTGATTTAATTTTCTTTAATTGTTTTGATTTTCCTCAGGTTATTCTCTTGGAGGAATCGTGGTCGGAATTATTTTTACTAAATGCCATTCAATGGTGCATACCTTTGGATCCTTCAAATTGTCCTTTATTTTCGGTAGCCGAACATTGTAATAATTACGAAGCCAGCAATAATAATGGCAGTAATTGTATGTCAAAGGAAGAGGTATGTATTGATTCAAATTAAGGGAAATATTTAAAACAATGCATTGACTAGTCAATTCCAAAGTTAAGTTAATAGTAAATAGGCCAGTTACCAGACTAGAACAGTAGACTAGTTAGTAGATTAAACATTATACTGTTCCACAAACTAATCAACAGGCTAGTTAATAGACTAGTCATAGTCTAATAGACAAGTCCATCGACTGCTCTGTAAACTATTCAAGAGACTTATCAATAGATAAGTCCATCGACTAATCCAAAGACTAGTTAATAGATTAGTTTATGGAATAGCCAATCGACTAGTGAATAGGCTGGTCCGTAAATCAGTCAATCACTAGTCTGCAGAATTGCCAATGGACTAGTCCATAAGAAAGTCCATAGACATATTAGTCAATGGACAATTCAACGGAAGAGTGAATAGAATAGTATACAGATTAATAAACAGGCTAGCCCATAGAGTACCCAATGGACTAATCCATAAGCTAGAGAATAAACCAGTCAATAGTCTATAGACTAGTGTTGAACGTTTTTCAAAGAATACTGTATAGCATAGTTCATAGACTAGTCAATAGACCTGTCAATAGACTAGTCCTTGTCAAAACGGAGTACTTTCGACTCTAATTGCAGCAAACTACAACGTTAGCCTATAGACTAGTCCTTAGACAAGACAATAGACTAGTGTATAAACTAATCCATAGACCGCATCATAGATTAGTCAATAGTTCATAGACTAGTGTATAGAATGGTCAACAGACAAGTTCAAATACTAGTAGTATGTAGGCTTGTCTATGAACTAGTCATAAAATTTAACAATAGGATAGTTCATAAATGTATGTTTAATCTATTCACGAAAACAAAAGAACATTTGTGTCACCCGGTTTGGCTTTAGTCGAAGCAAAAACCTAAATAGTACAGACTACAACCATTACGTGTAAAAACGCCTTTTATTAGTTTGTTCAAAACCCATTCCATTAATTTTTCCAATTTTTGCTGAGGCTCAGCAAAAATTTCCAACAATCGTGAACTAAGAGGCGGGGTATCTCAGCAAAATCGACCCATAAGAAATGTATGTGTTTGTGTGTCATCACAGCAAATTTTGCTGAGGTCGTTTGGCTCAGCATAAATCTCCATTTAAATAATGGGAATGACGCCACAAGGAATGGAAATGACGTTTGTCTGCTGCAAAAACAGATGTTGTTTTTATATCTTGGAGTTTTTTTAATTTTTTTCGAGATGTAGGGTACATACAATTTGTTATAATACTCATATTGGCAATTTTGGAAATTTGTTATGAATATAAATGATTTTTGGATGCAAAATAAGTTTGCAAAACAAAATTTTAGTTTATACCCACATTTTTGCATCCATTTTTAATCTTGAAATCCCCTAATGGTCCCATTATTTATATGTGATCGCTGAAACTATATTCTAATTTTAGTGTTAGTATTAGAAAAATCGATTAAGAAAATATGTATTAAAATCTGGCGACATTGGTTAAAGCCGCCTTAGGGTTGTAGACTATCCAACCTTGTCCGTCCGTCAGACTGTTGAAAACACGATAGAGTTGAAACGTAACAAGATAGAGAGCTGAAATATGTTCGTTTGGTATTGAACGAAGAAAGAGAGCTTGAATGACGAATATTTTATAATTTCTATTGTAATTTACAGATTGCCTCCGATGTGCGCACTTTATATGAAATCTTCTGCAAGTACAAAGCTGTCTTAGTAGATCCTGCAGAATTTGCCTGTCTTAAAGCCATCGTTTTATTCCGGCCCGAGACACGAGGTCTAAAAGATCCTGCACAAATTGAAAATTTACAAGATCAGGCTCATGTAAGTGATTTAAAACGTTATAATTATTCATTAGCTTATTAAATAAATTAATTTTTTTATTCGTAGGTCATGTTAGCTCAACATAACGAAAGCTCAATTTACCGCCCAAGTGGCTCGTTTTGGTCGTTTACTCTTAATGTTGCCCCTGTTGCGTATGATTAATTCACACAAAATCGAACTGGTCTATTTTCAACGCACCATTGGCAATACTCCCATGGAGAAAGTCTTGTGCGATATGTATAAAAATTAGACGAATTTTTTTCTGGAATATTTAAAATGTTTAAATGGAGCAAGTAAGATAAGATTTTAGAAATACAAAAAAACTGTTAATTTATTATGTAATTTATTATTTATAAAATTAATTATAAAGAAAAAATGTCAAAATTTTAAGAAATTAGTAAGATTTATTATAAAAATAAAATAAAAAATGTGCTATTTTAAATTGTAAAACATTTTTAAGAGTGTGTTTTACTAACTAACTACTACTAACTAACTACTAACTAACTAACTAACTACTAACTGAACTAACTACTACTAACTAACTAACTAACTACTAACTAACTAACTAACTACTACTAACTAACTAACTAACTAACTAACTAACTAACTAACTAACTAACTAACTAACTAACTACTAACTAACTAACTAACTAACTAACTAACTAACTAACTAACTAACTAACTACTAACTAACTAACTAACTAACTAACTAACTAACTAACTAACTAACTAACTAACTAACTAACTAACTAACTAACTAACTAACTAACTAACTAACTAACTAACTAACTAACTAACTAACTAACTAACTAACTAACTAACTAACTAACTAACTAACTACTAACTAACTAACTAACTAACTAACTAACTAACTAACTAACTAACTAACTAACTAACTAACTAACTAACTAACTAACTAACTAACTAACTAACTACTAACTAACTAACTAACTAACTAACTAACTACTAACTAACTAACTAACTAACTAACTAACTAACTAACTAACTAACTAACTAACTAACTAACTAACTAACTAACTAACTAACTAACTAACTAACTAACTAACTAACTAACTAACTAACTAACTAACTAACTAACTAACTAACTAACTAACTAACTAACTAACTAACTAACTAACTAACTAACTAACTAACTAACTAACTAACTAACTAACTAACTAACTAACTAACTAACTAACTAACTAACTAACTAACTAACTAACTAACTAACTAACTACCCTCGTCAATTTCAATTTAACTGCCGTTATTTTTCTAACACTTTGAAAACTTAGAGTTGTATTTCTGATGGCAGCAGTAACATTCAGAGTGTTGCCACTCAACTCTCTGCGCGGGTAATGTTTATTTTTCGTATTCCTTTTTAACAACTTTACTACGCAAAAAAGGGACCACAGGCTTAAAAAAGTATTACTCTAGACGTCAACGAAAATGGTTTGTTTTTGTAACATTTTAGTATACTCTCGGGATAACATCAAAGAAAAATTGCGAGCAAAAATATAAAATAGAAATTTTGCAAATTAAATGGCAAAAATATAGATTAAATATTAAAAAAAATCTAAAATAAATTAAGTAAAATCTAAAAGTGCAATATTTACATAATAATAAAAAGAAAATAAAATAAGAAAAATATAAAAATAAGAAAGAAGAAAAGTTGTGAGTGTTAAAAATACACATACACCGGAATGCACATAATTGATGGCCAAAGTATCCACAAGATACTTATTTCGCATCTTGTTCTTCTTCACAAAATTTTCATCTGATGTAGAAAATGTAAAAATACAAACATACCAACATACACCCTCACATTACAGTAAAAGCTTTTAAGCAAATACAAAAAACCAACAACAAACAAGAAGAAAAAAACGGCAATAATAATCAAAAAAGAACTCCTTCCTGCATACAAACGGCATGAATGTGTGGATTTGTGCATCTTTTAGTTTTATTTTCATTTCAGTTTTTTTTTTTGTATGAAAATATGAAAATTTTTGCTTTTTGTTTGTTTTTAAGACTACCGACCTTTTGATTCCATTGCTTTTTAGTTTGTTGGTATTTGAACTGATTTTTTTCTTATTTTTTATATTACAAAATCTATTCAAAATATTTGTTTTATGACTTTTCCCATAAATTATATTTATTGTCTGTTGGGTCTATTGGTTGGTCGGTGGAACGGACGGCCGACTGTCTCTTGTTCTATCTAAATGTAGTCAAATATTTAATATTTATTAATATTACAAATATGTGTGTAAATTGTGTGAGAATTTGTGTAATATTAATGATATTTATAAAATAAAAACAGCACGAGAAACAAAAGTGTAAAATAACAACAACAACAACAAGAACTACAAATCGGGAAAATCATCAAAACAAATAAAATCATATAAAACTTTACGGGAAAAGTTTAAAAATTATTATTTATGTTTGTATGAATGTTTTTTTTGTATTCTTTTTTTTTTTTGTTGCTGCCACAATTGTCATACGGTTGAATGTGTTTTCTGTGAATGTGTGTATATTGTTGTTGTTTTTACTGTATCTGTATCTTCTATAATAATCACTAGTGGCGCGCTTCAAATTATGTATATTCAAACATCTGACTTAAGTGCTGTGGTAAAATTTAAATTATAATAACATTTTATATAAAAAACAACAACAAATATTTTATCAAGAATAATAAAATATAGAAACAGGCAAATTAAAATGATAAAGAGCGCAGTGACATACCAAGAGAGTGAAAAACCACACAAGAACAACAAACACAAAATTCTGCAGCATCAGCAGCAGTAGGTTGGGGAGCAGTAACTGTTACAAGGTGGTAACATATGGTGAGCGTAACATTTATTTACTGTTATTATTATAATAATGATTATAATTATTAATTGATAATCCCAAAAAGGATGTGAAATGTTTCTGTATGTATATTTTCGAGAAACTTGAGTATGTGTCAGCGATGGAAAGTTTAGAAGTTAAATTTGTTGTTTTATTTCTGTTGAGTAGAAAATCGAGTCGAATACTATAGGACAGTCCATGGAATAATCTAGAAAGTATATGGAATAACATCTGTATTATAGTAGTCTATGGACTAGGCTATAGACTAGTCTATGTAATAGACTATGGACTAGTCCTTGGACTATACTATAGACTAGTCTGTGGACTCTACTATAGACTAGTCTATGTACTCGATTATAGACTAGTCTACGGACTCGACTATAGACTAGTCTATGAACTAGATTATAGACTAGTCTGTGGACTTAACTGTAGACTAGTCTGTGGACTAAACTGTAGACTAGTCTATAGACTAAACTGTAGAGTAGTCTATGGACTAAACTATACACGAGTCTATGGAATAGACTATAGACTAGTCTATGGACTAGACTATAGACTAGTCTATGGACTAGACTATAGACTAGTATATGAACTTGACTATAGACTAGTCTATGGACTAGACTATAGACTAGTCTCTGAACTAGATTATAGACTAGTCTATGGACTAAACTATAGACTAATCTATGGACTAGACTTAGTCTATAGACTAGACTAGACTATAGACTAGTCTATGGACTAGACTATAGACTAGTCTACGGACTAGACTATAGACTAGTCTATGGACTAGACTATAGACTAGTCTACGGACTAGAATATAGACTAGTCTACGGACTAGAATATAGACTAGTCTACGGACTAGAATATAGACTAGTCTATGGACTAGACTATAGACTAGTCTATGGACTAGACTATAGACTAGTCTATGGACTAGACTATAGACTAGTCTATGGACTAGACTATAGACTAGTCTATGGACTAGACTATAGACTAGTCTATGGACTAGACTATAGACTAGTCTATGGACTAGACTATAGACTAGTCTATGGACTAGACTATAGACTAGTCTATGGACTAGACTATAGACTAGTCTATGGACTAGACTATAGACTAGTCTATGGACTAGACTATAGACTAGTCTATGGACTAGACTATAGACTAGTCTATGGACTAGACTATAGACTAGTCTATGGACTAGACTATAGACTAGTCTATGGACTAGACTATAGTCTAGTCCATAGACTAGACTATATACTAGTCTATGGACTAGACTATAGACTAGTCTATGGACTATAGACTAGACTATAGACTAGTCTATGGACTAGACTATAGACTAGTCTATGGACTAGACTATAGACTAGTCTATAGACTAGACTATAGACAAGTCTATGGACTAGACTATAGCCTATGGACTTAACTATAGACTAGGTTAGACTATATACTAGAGTATTTCTTATGAAAACACAATTTTCTGGTAAAAATACGAATTTCTGGTGAAATTACGATTTTCTGGTGAAAATACTCTTTTCTAGTGAAGTTGCAATTTTCAAGTTAAAATATGACCTTTAAGTCAAAATTTGATTTTTAGTGAAATCTGGATTTTCGAGTGGAAATTCGAATTTTTAGTGAAATATAAATTTTTAATGAAATTTTTTTTTAATGATTTTTTTTTAGTGAAACTTCGATTTTTTTTGGTAAATTTTCGCTTTTCTGGATAAAATACGAATTTCTAATCGATTTACTCGATCTCGATTTACTGTGAAATTACGACTTTAAAGAGAACCGGCCAAGAGACCAGGAATATATATATAGTCGAAATATATTCCTTTGCTCGGTAACCGAATAACCTTTTGAGAACCAAAACCCAGGATGAGAACAAAAATCGCTTGAATATCTTATTGCAGGTGCCCAAGAATGTCAGAGTTATTAAAGCACAACTATGGCCATAAACAGTTTCAAAAGGTATCTGGCAATACCTGTTTCTTGTTTTCTAAGAACTTTTTACCAATCACTTTTAGAGATTTTTTCATTGAAAGAGTGATAAAAGTCTTCATCTGTCTGATCCTCAGCGATGAACACACAGTCTCAACTCAGGAATCAAAGAATCGGCATATAATATTATTCAAGGACGAAACATCAATTCTCACGGAAAAGTATTCAATATAGTGTTAAAAACATATGAATCATAAGCAAAATTTTCAACATCGAATATTTGCAATGGTGCTGAACTCTCCAGCTTTGGTTTCTATATAGTTTTGTAGGAGTATGTTGTGCAAAAGCATCATATACACTTATATTTAACTGTCTATCCTCCTCTCAGAATGTTTACACACAAATGTTAGCATATAATTTCTAAATGTACATACGAGGCCAGGCGAAAAAAGTGCTTTAAAATGTTTATGAATTTTTCTTATT